GAGAGAGAGAGAGAGAGAGAGAGAGAGAGAGAGAGAGAGAGAGAGAGCCTTCATCCCTGGAAGAACAATCTAGGTTTCAGATGTTTTTACAAAGTGAGATCATTCTGTAAAAAGTTGTGGATAAGGTTAGGTTTGGGTCGGAATAATTGTTGAATTTAAGTTTGAGGTTGAATGTCTCATCGGGGTGCTCATGACCTCAGACTGAATACAAATGATGGCTCGAGGCTTCATCAAAATGTGTCTTTTTTTGCTGCTTTTTTTGTTGATGAATCAACAAGACATTCAGAAGAAACAAACTTCACCACTGCTCTGATAAAATACAGCAGAGCAGAAAACCTAGTGAAATAAATAGTCAGAGCAGTAACATAGAGGCACAGCAAAATTCTAAACAACAGTGTTAGGTGGTTTTACACAAGTATATCAACATCACTACACACGGCGTAGTAACACCCACCCTTAATAAGTACTATTTTCTTCACCATAATCCCCAGAAAGTGGCTGTCGGTTTCGGTAAAAGTATCCCAGAGAAAAACAAACTATTACATATTTAAGATGTCATCTACATCACAGTGCTTTGCTGCTGAGGCTGCACAGTATTCACTTGTTGTGGCATGTTGTTTAATGTAAATGATCATCAGTCATCAAACGGATTAGCAGGCCATGTTTTATAAGCATATGACATGTTGTACTCTGTTTCTCAATACATTTAAATCTGGAGAATAAGGAGGTTTCGTTAACATTCCTCAGACCCTTCAAACTGAATATAATTGATGCCCGATCTTTACATCAATCAATAGAAATCCTCCCATATGTCGATGGGCAGATGACATATCAGCCTCGTAGCAGAGGTCAGCCTAAATGTCCCCCAGATGTTGTGATGTGCATTTCATGATATTGATGAGGACCGCCATGTGTGTGTGTGGTAAAAAGGGTCTGGTCCCCATTAAGTGTTTAGAGACACAGAGCTGCTGCCTCTGACTGATTAACAGTGGCAGCTGTCTCTCTCTCTCTCTCTCTCTCTCTCTCTCTCTCTCT